CCCACACACACACGCACACATACACCCACACACACACGCACACACACACACACACACACACACACACACACACACACACACACACACATATATATATGTGTGTGTGTGTGTGTGTGTATTTATATATATTTATGAGTTTGACCGTATGTAGATAAATACATAGAATACAGAGACACACACACACACACACACACACACACACACACACACACACACACACACACAGACACACACACACACACACGCACGCACACACACTCAAATATATATATATATATAAGTGTTCTAATAACATACATGTTCACCTTTTTAACTCACATACCATAACATAGTCATACCCACATATGAGATAAAGGATCGAAAGTTAACGCAAGCAAGGACTTTGACTTACCGCCGAGTAGATGGCGTAGGAGGCGCCGCCAGAGTAGGAGTACTTCTTCCCCAGCATGACTTTGTTGATATCTGTGTTCAGCTCCAGTGCTCGCAGCCGGTCGAGAATCGCAGTGTATTCGCTGATGCTGTTGGGGGACGAAGAAGCACATTGTACATTACATATATTAGCTTTACTACAACGTTCTGTGTTCGTTCGTTTTATGTAGCTACAAATGATCTGATACACTAACTAAATCACATATATCACGTATAAACACATCAATATATTTGCTACTTAAATGTCTGTCCTTTAAACCATCAGTATAATAGTGGTACAAGTAAAATATCCAAGCTTGGGGGCACTTACAGGATACACTCTTGCTCTCCACACTGGTTCACGTTGAGGTGCATGTCGACGGCTGGCGTGATCTTGCCGGCTGGGATGAACAACTCCACGTTGGATCTCCCGATTATGACGTATGATCGGAACACTGGCGGAGAGGAGAGGTTTCGTTGGGGAAAAGTTGGAATTTCAGGGTGTCAGTATATTCAAATGTGTGTGTGTTTTTTGTATATGTGTCTGTTTGTTTATGTGTGTTTTTTGTATATGTGTCTGTTTGTTTATGTGTGTGTTTTTTTGTGAATGTGTTTGTTTATGTGTGTGTGTTTGTTTATGTGTATTTGTGTGTGTTTTTTTATGTATATGTGTTTGTTTATGTGTATGTGTGTGTTTGTTTATGTGTATTTGTGTGTGATTTTTATGTATATGTGTTTGTTTATGTCTGTGTATGTGTATGTGTGGTTTTGGATGTGCACACATATGTGCCTGTGTACCAGCGCGGTCTTCACCTGGGTTGTTAGGAATGTCGTTTCCTCGCAGGTTGAGGAGCCAAGCCACCTCGTCGAGGGAAGTCAGCACCAACATGTCGGCTCCGTCGCTCTCCATCTCGGCTCGAACCTCGGCCACTTTGTCTTCCCATTTCTTGCCTGTTGCAATTGCATTACCATTTTGATTAATTACAACCATAACCAAATTCTTTAAACCATATATATATTTTTTATCCTCTCGCATGAATAATTTGTTTAAAACAGACTCGATTTAAAAGTATCTCTATGACAGGATGTCCACAAATCAACTTAATTTCGAACACATTACCAGCAAACTGTATTTCGTGGATGAAGATCGGGTCCTTCGAGTACTGCGGTCTGACGTCGGAGGGCCAGATGAGGTCGACCAGGTTTGTCGTGATGGGGACCAGTTCAATATTTGATTCTGGGGATGAGCGGTTTTTTTATGATTAATATACGTCTTGGGCTTTTTTTGTTTTCCGTTGAAGTCTTTCTCGTCATATTCTCTTATGTCAAAAATGTTTCCTATCTTCTGTTTTTTCCTTTTAATTTGTTTTGTCAAAGCCGCCCTTGTCATTTTTTTATCAAGGACCTTTTGCTTTAAAAATTGTCATATTACTAATTCGTATTAAAATCTTTTATATAAAAAGATCGTACCGAAAATCATTCTTATTACAAATATTTCTTATGAAAACCTATTATTTTCTCTCTCTCTCCTCCTCTCCTTTCTTCACTCTCTCTCTCTCTCCCTCTCTCTTTCCCTTTCTTCCCTCTCTCGCTCTCCCCCCTTACTTCCCTCCCCTCCTCCCTTCACCTCCTTCATTCCCCTTCCTCCTCCTCCCTCTCCCTCCTCTTTCTCTCTCTCTCTCCTCCCCCTCTCCTTCCTATTCCCTCCCCCTCCCTTCCTCTCCCTCCCTCCCGCGGACTCACTCGCGAGTTTTTCAGCAAGTTCCTTCCATGAATCGGACCCATGGAGTCGAGGGTCAGCTCCGACTCGCGCCCCTGAGTTCAGCGTCTTCGCCAGCCACTCCTCCTCCTTCGGGACCTGCCGGAGTGCGCATATGATGGGCAGTGAATAAGGTGCTCATTACTAGACATTACTAATTCACGGTCTTATTTACAGGAGTCAATGATGATTAAAAAAAAAATGATATTGAAACTACTCTACCATTACTCTCATTATTGATAATGATAATAGTAATGATGATTATTATTGTCATTATTATCATTATCTTAATTATCTAATTTTATTTATTTTGAAATCAGCATCAAAGGCGTC